TAAAACCCCCTAAATATGCGAAAACAATGAAATTTTAGAAAATGAATTCTGGGCAAAAAAGCGAAAGCAGCCTGTAAAAACGTGATATCTGGTAACGCTTTAGCATAGACCTTCAAATCAGCAAGAAAATCCAAACATTACGTCTTGATCCCTCTGGGTCCGTTAGCCACCGCCCAAACAGGCTGCAGAACTACTCTGCACTAGAGCCGAACGGGACCATACTAACTCATGGGATGCATTGATGGAGTTGTCATTGGTCCGCGTGATTTCTTAAGAACGGTCGCTCATCCATGTGACGCGTTAGACCGCTGCTTATCACTGGTAAGTCCCTGAGGCAATCTCATTCCCCAGTGGATCTGATACAGATCACTGATAGATACGACAGGGTAGTGAGGGTTGGTTTGTTCCATCTTGGATCCAGAACCGGATTCCTTCCCTAGAGCCAAGCAAGTATATTGTGCGACTAGCACGATGCGCTAGTAGTCGTAACTCCGAAGTATTCCTACTGAAGGTATAACTCGGGTTCTCCTAGGACTGCCGCTTAGGCTGAAATGACCCTGGTTACAGACAGTTTCGATGAGATCCTGACTTGCACTACGTCCAGAACCCCTCTAAATTTAGCCTGGTGCATACTGAATTAGAGAGCGGATCGTGCGTGATATACGTAGACTGGGCTGCTTAGCGTTTTTAACCGTTGCGACCACGTCCAGCACGAAATTGTCACAGTTGGGTCAATTGAATTATTCCAATCTGCCAACCCTCCTCCACCCTCTCTAATATTTTGTCTTCTTGCCAGTATAGTACAGTGGTTGAAAGCGAAGAGAGTAAGATAAATGCAGTTTCATTACACATCACTAGGTAAAAACATTCACGCGCAAGTCCTTGCTGTGTGATCCTCGCAGGATAGCGGCAGATGCCGCTCGCGACGATCTCTGAAGGCTCTAGATTAAACCCCAAGGAGCAGCGGGAAAACCATATCCATGGTCGGCAAAGTCCTTCTCACGATTATATATGTATATATTGAATACTTCAAATCTGCCAACCCCCTCCCCCCTAATAGTAAATTGACCAACTGTAATTAAATTCAAGGTTGTCGGCGTGCCTTCGTAGCTCAATTGGTAGAGCATTGGCTGTACGAAAGCCTTTCCTGCTGATAGCTCTTAGGTAGGTTTCTCTATATACTCCATCCTCCTTCCTCTTAGACCATTCGGTGTGTCAAGGGAGGTAAATTGTCAAAAGACACCACAGTAGACCTATTTTGTGCAAGTCGTTATATGAATGCAGCAGTTAATACACAGAGGGTGGAGGCCCATCGCTATGAAATATTAAGCCAGACTACGCCTACTAAGACGCCTAAAGTAGTTATTTATGTATATTAAACACCAGTAGCTTTCACAACCCCATCCTTCTCGACTATCCTCATTTTTCTTCTAGTGAACCCCACACTTTTGATTTTACAGCGAGTGTTATGAAATTTAGGCCAGCCATGTTCATCTTAGGCACTTTTGGAACACGTATGCCTTCAAATAAATTACAACACTTCGACTTTATTACTGTTAAAAGTTATAAATATGTCATTAAATGCTGATGTCATAAACAGCAGGAAAATCAGAATAAGTTCAATAAATAAGAGGAAAAAAAAGCATAGAGCAGTGAATAGAGGGGAAGAGGGTGACGGTCTAGACTAGAGCGGCGATGTCATGAGTTAGCTTTTTGTACAAGGTGAAAGTGATTGGTCAACTGGCTCCTTAACCCGATTGTAAGCCGAGTTAACCAATAAGAACAACACCCAGTGTCCTCAATATGAACGAGGAAGAGTGCATGAAAAGGTTTCCAAGAAAGTAGTTTGAATCACAATTCCTTGGGAGGTGGATTCGCGAACCACCAAGGGGAGTAAACAAACAAAAAATAATGACTAGAAGAAAGTGTGTGGAGCCGAGTGGAAAAAATGCAGTAAATAAAAGTCAAATTGCACATTAGCCATACGCGCGAAAGGAGGAGGGGAGGGGACGAAACATGGAGGAGACAAAGGGGGTGGGGGTGGACCTTCGACGTATGGCTGGGGGGAGGGAGGGCGTCGGTGTACGAGTGACCACATCGCAGCAGCAGCAGGGGCACTGGAAGCCTGATCAACTAGTAGGGGGAGAAACGTTGGTAACTGGAATTTGTGCGGTATATTGCGGGCGTGTTGGCCACCGCGTTATTCAGGGCTGCGTAACTCACCGCCAGACGGTTCAAGTATGGGTCAATGCCAGCGGCAACTGCTGCAGCGTTCAAGTCCGGTAGATAGCTGAGAGAAAAGGAAAGGAGGACCGATCAGGCGAGTCATACAAACCAGCAAGTTAAAGAAGTATATAGGCTGCTGTCTGCTACGCCAGTGAGGAACGTGCTCTTCCACTGGCCTATCGGTATCAGAAGCGGAAAAGAGGAGGAGAATGTTAGGTCGACATCGCTAAAGGGATCGCACAGTTGTGTATGGAGGAAGGATGGTTATCTTCTGTTAAAAAAATTTGGAAATTCTCCACGTCTATCTCCTGTGAAATTCTATCTAACCTACTTGTATACTGTTTCCTACCCTCTTTGTTTATTCACATCGACTTTGACGTTGAAACTGCTGCTCACTCCTATTGTTGAATTGTTCTTGTGTACGCTTGTAACAAACACTAGTAAACATGCGTTTTTTTTCATTGTCTAGAGTCAGGCGTTATATTTGGCCGACTCCTTTGTTATTGACTACAGCTACCTACTGTCGAGGTTCGCAACTAGTTTATTCGTCATTATTTAATAGAACCGTACTTCACCTATTGTCGTTTGCGTTTGGAATCGACGTATGCGTTACTCTGGGATACCAAGTCGTCGAAAACAAAGATAATGCAGATGGTAATAAACCAGAAACGAATATTGAGCACGGAATACGAAGTATACTTGTTGCTATCGTTTTTATAATGATCCACCGCCCCCACACCAAGCCACAGCTTACAGACCGTGCTCCGCGAACTACAGTCCGGCAGGCCTTCTAGTTGAGGAGTAAAACCATGGGACAAGTGCCCCTATTTAGGTTGCCGAGGGCTAGCGATGGCAAGGGGGGGTAAGCTACAGAAGTTCAATGTCACGTGACGAAGTGACGGACAGGAAATTTCACCTCTATGTACAGATCTACTGACAACTAACCTAACGCCCACTAGAACTTGTTTACGCCAAACTAAGAGTAAAGCAACCTGCTAGCCGGCCGAAAAGATGAATTCTGAACGATCCAGTTAGCAGTATTGAAGCCCGTCGCCATCTGACGGATAACTTCCGGAAAACCACACAGTATTTTTCGGTGAACGAGGACCACCATCTAGAGGCCAAATGTTCACAGGAAGCCCGCTACCCAGGTAGACCGGCAAAGTAACACTCTGCCAATACAAGCGAACATGCGAGTCCCAGGAAGTAACTGAGAAGAAGACTATGTAGTCGCTGGGACAAGACTTTTATTCGCCTGACCTTTCGAAGTCCGTTGAGGATCCTTCATCAGAGACATTAGCGGAAACAGTAGCAGAAACGAGTAATTCATGCACAGGGAGTTGCAGTATCTATATTGCTTTACACCCATGACAATTAACGACGCCCCATTGAGGATACTTGTCCGCCTGTGTGCTAATTGTTTGATGACCGGCATGCAGGCCGCGATCTGCTGACCTTTCATCACACATTATGAAATTGGACGTCATTGTGGGCGTGGACGTCGTCTAACGTCAATGCCGGGGAACCAGATGGCCGAGCAATCATCACG